AGTGATACTGTGGTCACTCTCCATGTAGCATCAATTATGCTAATGCTAGCTGTCACGTTCTCTCGTCCTGGCCACACCTCCGCTCTCCAACCCCGCTCCCCTACCCACTTTGATGCATTTTTCAAATTTCGCCTTGGGGCGGAGTTATCTTTTCACAGGGAGGAGGGGTAAGATACACTTAAAAGACGTGTAAAGATGGAAATGTCTGTCAGTCTCATGCACCGCTGAAAATAACAGCACACGCTCGTACACACCAACACACACACACACACCTTTGCTGGGCATAATAGCAGTAGCTATTAGCAAGCAATAGCAATAGCAGACTCATTTTTACAGCCCACTACTTATATAGACAGTTTCCTCACTCATTCTCCATTTAATGTATAATTTTCCTGCATCTAAAAATCATTTCTGATCCCACAGAGAGGACAATCTGAGGAGAATCTCACACCTGGACACTTTTACATCTGTTTTACAGATTTAAATGGAGGCGTGTCAGGGGAGGAGTCTCAGTTCCACCTTCAGTAGGATGTATAAAGGAAAGGTGCGCAGGAACCTGCGTGTGCACAGCTTTATACATCTGAATATTTTGGTGCAGAGCACTTTTATAAATGTGGCCGTACGTCAACTTTTACTGTGAAAGCTGTGTAATCCTTCATGCCTGAGGCCCCTGGAGAAGCAAACTTCTCACCCTCTCTCTGAGGGACACGAGTTMATTCTCCCAGTCACTGCTCAAAGTTTGTGATCATTGCTGAGAGTTTAGCCTTTACGCTCTTCACCATGACACAAACACACATACACATTTTATACACAGGTAATTATTAAAGCAAGCAAAAACAACAAAAACAAACAGAAAATATTCTAGTTTTCTGAATACTCAACAACCTGTCTGGGTTTCCTTCATGTCAGATTTTTCCCGTCCTTTTGCACTGATTTATATTCATTTAAAAATTTCTTGCCTGAAAATAGCATTCATTGTCTTTCTTAAAAATAAATAAAATAAAAATAAAAACAATTAATTAATTAATTGTGACTATGCGCTGTTTAATGAATGCTCAGCTTGACTTTAACAATGTGACTTTTTGAGACAGTTTAKTTTCAGGTTTAGTTGTCCTCTGATGTTACCTGACATTGTCGTGCTTCTGGATGTAGATCTTATGAAACATCATGTCCTCCTGCTTGACATTTATGTCTGCTTTCATCTCCATGGCTACGTGACGAGGAAGTACAGAGAGCAGGAGACGCTCCTGCAGGAAGACGAACACAAGTTTGACGTTAAAATATKGGAGTGAAAAATATTCAGCAGCTAGAAAATTTAAATGTAACAAACCAGTAAAGTGAACGATGGTTACTGTAAYGGAAACACAGAGTGAAGCTCTCACAAGTTGAAATACTAACATAAAACATCTTATCTATTATTGTTTGACTGATTTCCAGGTAATTTTATGGTTGAATTCTAAATCTGTACAGTTTATTTCAGAGATTAAAATGTGTTTTTTAYTATTTTGCTTCAGCTAACAGCAGCTTTTTATCAAAGTGGTTTTTAATACACAATTTTAAAATGTTCCCAGTTTGAAATGTGACACAAATGTAGAACAGAAGTGGAAGAAAAAATAGGTTATTTTAGAAGAAAAACCAGCTCAGTTTCTGTAGAAACAGTCTCATGTTTTGGACAATTGGATGGCATTTTTCTGCTGGTAATGTTTGGTRTTGGGTTTGGAAACCATTTACTATTCAAAATGCAATGAATAAACAAATCATCAAATGCAAAAAAGGAAATAAAAAAGTCATTCTGGTCATCTTGATGTAGAGTTCAGATTTCTAGCCCGAGCCTGACCCGAATTCAGGCCGAAACCATTTTCTTGATGGTCTGGTTGGGTTTCCATGACACATTTTTACAAGCAGGGGTCTCTGCAGTACATGCTGTCTTGTGGGCAGAGACGGCCCTGCTCGTGATCGGCAAAGTTGGTGAGTGGGCAGAGGACTGTGATTGGTTGGGGATGTCTTGTGGGGCAACTTAAAAGAGGAAGTAACTAGATAMCACSRYAKAGYRGTAACAYAATGACCCCCRGACGCACAAATGGACCAGATCTCAGAAGACTTTATTCCTAATAAATGGTATGCTACTAGGTGCATCCCAAAATTGTACTGGTTTGGGTGGGGTCTTTTATTTATTTATTTTGGGGGGCGGGGCATTGTTTGACCTGATGGATAGCCCCTCATCAGAGCTAAACAACAAAACAAATCTGAAGCTTCTATGTTGAACAGTTTCTGAGTTATAAGCCTTTCATATGTCCAGAAACCCCCACTTTGAAATGAGCCCCCTCCTCAAATATGGGGTCCATCATAAAACCGTTGGCTGGAGCAGTGTAGGTCAGACTCATCTACAGTCCTGACAAATGTCATGTTGATCGGTGCAGCTGTTTTTGTAGTAGTAGTGGTAGTAGTAGTAGCAGTAGTAGCAGTAGTAGCAGTAGTAGTAGCAGTAGTAGTAGTAGCAGCAGTAGTAGTAGTAGTAGTAGTAGTAGTAGTAGTAGTAGTAGTAGTAGTAGTAGTAGT